CAGGTCCTGATGGATTCACAGCTGAATTCTACAAGAAGTTTAGGGAAGATTTAATGCCAATTCTTCTCAAACTCTTTAATGAAATTGAAAGGGAAGGAATTCTCCCCAAGTCATTCCTGGAGGCAAGTATTATCCTGATACCAAAACCAGAGAAAGACCCAACCAAAAAAGAGAACTACAGGCCAATCTTCCTAATGAATATAGATGCAAAAATTCTCAATAAAATACTAGCAAACACAATGCAACAAATCATCAAGAAGATTATACACCATGACCAAGTGGGATTGATTCATCCCAGGAATGCAGGGATGGTTCCATATACACAGATCAATTAATGTAATACACCATATCAACAGAGCCAAAGACAAAAATCACATGATCAGCTCAATAGATGCAGAAAGAGCTTTTGATAAAGTCCAACAATCATTCATGATGAAAACCCTACAGAAAATAAGAATAGATGGTCTTTACCTCAATCTGATAAAAGCCATCTATGACAAACTAACAGCTAACATCATTCTAAATGGTCAAAAATTGAAAGCTTTCACTTCAAAATCAGGAACAAGACAAGGATGTCCACTGTCACCACTCCTTTTCAATATAGTTCTGGAAATATTAGCCAGACCAAATAGACAAGACAGAGAAATAAGAGGAATAAGGGTAAGAAAGGAAGAAGTAAAATTATCATTACTCGCAGATGACATGATACTCTACATAGAAGACCCCAAAAACTCCACCAAAAGACTTATAGATTCAATAACCAAATTCAGTAGCATAGCTGGATACAAAGTCAACACTCAAAAATCAACAGCATTCCTGTACACAAACAACAAACAGGCTGAGTGAGAAATTAGTGAAACCACAGCTTTTATGATAGCATCCAAAAAACTGAAATACTTAGGAATCAATCTAACAAAAGAAGTAAAAGATCTATACAGTGAAAATTATAATACTCTGAAAAAAGAGATCGAAGAGGATTTCAGAAAATGGAAAGATATTCCTTGCTCAGGGATAAGAAGAAACAACATTGTGAAAATGGCCATACTCACAAAATTGTCGTACAAATTCAATGCAATCCCAATTAAAATACCATTAGTATACCTCACAGATCTAGAGAAAATATTCCTAAAATTCATCTGGAACCAGAAGAGGCCCAGAATAGTAAAAGCAATCCTGAGCAACACAGGAAAGGCAAGAGACATCAACAATCCCTGACTTGAAATTATACCATAAAGCTACTGTGATAAAATCTGCATGGTACTGGCAAAAAAACAGACCTGAGGATCAATGGAACAGATTCGAAGATGCAGACACAGCTACAAACACAGTCAGCCACCTTATCTTTGACAAAGTGGCCAAACATGTTCACTGGAAGAAAAATAACCTCTTTAATAAATGGTGCTGGAAATACTGGCTTTCCACATGCCAAAGACTAAAACTAGACCCATGTCTATCACCATGCAGTAAACTAAAGTCAAAATGGATCAAAGATCTAAATATCAAAACAGAAACACTAAATCTACTGGAAGAGAAAGTAGGCAAAAATCTCAAAGACATAGGGGTAGGCAGAGAGTTCATGAACAAAAACCAAGCTGCATAGGAAATACTTCAAAGAATTAACAACTGAGATCTTATCTTCTTGAAAAAATTTTGCACATCAAAAGAAATCACCAACAGAGTAAAAAGAAAACCCACGAATTGAGAAAAAAATTTAGCCAGCTCTCCCTCAGACAAAGGACTTCTATCTAGAATATATAAATAATTTTTAAAAATCATAAACCAGACCTCCATGTGTAAGCAGCGTATTGTCTCACTAGTGTTAAGAACCTCAGTGAATAAAAATTAGGAGGTATGACAGACATTGTGAAATGAAAGGAAAATGCTCAAAAGTAAAAAGCAACTGGGATGAGGGAAAAGAGAAAAGAAGGGGAAATTACGTATGTATGTATATACAGGATAGTTAACATAGTTGTACTATTGACTTCTATCGCTTCACTGAAAAGAACAATTAATGATTACTTATTTGATCCATCTTGCATATCTCTGTTTTCCTGAGAAACCACTGTGAAGATATCAATACATAGTACGACAACCATTGTTAATTTCCTACCACTTTGTCTGTGATTCAGTACTGCTTGTATTGTTCTTATGCTATTTTGTAAATGGACATCTGTTTGTTAATAGGTTTTCCTTCTTTTTCTTTTAAAAGAAATTTCAAAAAACATAAAAAAAAAAAGTCAGGCCCCCCAAAGTCAAAGACCCAAGCCAAAAATGGGCATCTGAGATAAATATATACTTCTCAGATGAAGAAATACTAGTGGCAAATAAATATATGAAAAAATGTTCAACATCATGAGTCACTCGAGAAATGCAAATTAAAGCAACACTGAGATTCCATCTCACCCCAGAAAGAATGGTTATCACTAAGAAATCAACCAATGACAAATACTGGAGAAGCTATGGGGAAAAGGGAACACTTCTCCACTGCTGGTGGGAGCATAAATTGGGGAAACCGCTGTGGAAATCAGTTTGAAGATTCCTCACAAAACTAGGATTAGAAGTCCCACTTAACCCAGCTATTCCCCTTCTGGGTATTTTCCCAGAAGAACTAAAAACATCATACCACAGCAATGTACATGCACCCATGTTTATAGCAGTGCAATTTGTCATAGCTAAATCTTAGAAACAGCCAGGCGTGGTGGCACACACCTGTAATCCCAGCACTCAGGAGGCTGAGGAAGGAGGATGGTTGTGAGTTCGAGGCCAGCGTGGGCTACAAAGTGAGCTCAAGGCCAGCCTGAACTGCATAGTGAGACCCTGTCTCAAAAAGACAAAAAAAAAATCTTAGAAACAACCCAAATGCTCATCAACTGAGGAATGGATAAAAAAGATGTGGTATTTTTATACAATGGAGTATTACTCAACTATAAAAAAGATAAACTCAAGGCTTTTATAGCTAAATGGATGCAACTAGAGACCATACTCGTAAGTGAAATAAATTGGACCCACATGTGTAAATATCATAATCTCTCTAGTATAAGAACATGAAAGAGTAAATAAAACCCAAAATGCACAATAGATAATAAGAAAGGGAAAGAAATTGCCCAAAGGAAGGAACTGGAATGAGGGAAAGAAGAAAAAGAACTAAGGTAAAAAAGAAGAAATATATAGAGAGATATATAGACACAGATATATAGAACTGTACGGCTTATGTCTGGTGGTTTACTGAAAGGAACAGTTAATGCTTAATTTTTTTTAATATTTTGACCAATTTTGCATGCTTATATCTGGTAATCTGAGCAACTGATATGAAGACAACAATATGCAATATAACAACCATTGGTGAATTCCTACCATCTTGTCTAGTGAAACTCTGTACTGTCTCTAATGTTTTTTTTTAAATTGTTTTCTTATTCTCTTTAATGGTTTGATCAATCTTCTGTTCTTACACCTGGTAATCTGAGCAACTTCACTGAAGATAACAATATGTAATATAACAACCACTGTTAATCCCAATCATTTGGTTTGAAACTCTGTATCATTTTTAATGTTTTTGCTGTGTTTGTATTTTGCTGTTTTTTACTATGCTCTTTAAAATAAAAATTAAAAAACAAATAGAAGTACCCTATAAACACCCTTAAATTTTAGCGATAATGTTTTTTTCCAGTGCTAGTAATTGAACCCAGGGCCTCACACATGCTAGGCAAGTACTCTACCACTGAGCCATATTTGCAGATTATGGGCTGCGATAATATTGAAAGCTAAAAGCATATGTATTTATAAGCCAAATATGAAATTACTTTTTGCAAAACTTTAATTGCTACGGTAGTTTAAAAGTCACACTAGAAACATCCCATAGAAATAAACAGGACTAACAATTGCAAGCAAAACAATTCATAAACAAAAACAATTTACCAATGTGTCCATTCATTTTTAAAAGTAACATTATACCAGATTTTTACGGTCTACATACTTGGGAGTGCATTCACATTCACATTTTTAAAAATCTTTCAATAGCTCTGCCTGTGTGCATCCAACACTGTGCCAACCAAAAGCAAGCACACAGGGGCCGTGCAGGACAGGACCTGTGCTGGCAGGTGACACTGCGGCCAGTGCTGCAGTAATGGCCCATAGCAAGCAGAGTGAGGCAGTGGCAAGCAGGTGCATGCCTGCCTCTGAGGCATGTGGGAGACGGCAAGACTGCACCCTTACCCACCACATGGCCCCTCAGCGCAGCAGTGTTAGGAACTAACAGTGCAGGTGTGACAAGTCCACAGAGTCTACTATAGCAGGTCTTTTTCTACGTAGACACAACATAAAGCTATGTAAATACTGAACCTCAGAAGTATCCTGAAAATCAGTAAAAAGCAATACAAATGTTATATTCTACAAAATTTGTAACTGTAAAATAATTTACTTAAATATTGCAGAACTAATTCATAGTAAAAATCTGCTTAGTCTCCCTAGAAAACTCTATAACTAGAGTTTATGGTGCCCCTGTACAATGGAGAGATACATAGTCACCACTGCACCTCATTCAGAGGAAAACGAAACAGCAATTCTATAACGTGTCTGTGTTTGGAGCTCTGCCTGCCACTGTCTACCTGCCTTCTCCTTCCCTGGTGCGCCACAACTGCAGTAGAGGCAAGCCCCTGGTGTCCTCACCAGGACTCGGTCTGCCAGCAGCACTTCTGTAGTTCTCGTACCAACAGCCCAGCATATGTACGGTGGAGCACCTGCATTAGGAGACACTCTCCAGAGGAAGAGTCCAGGGTGTGGTCTGCGACCAGGAATGGTGCTCAAGCTGCAAGGATACAGCCGACTGCCTGTCTAGCAACTGAGGGCACCTGAGACCCAAGGAGAAACCATCCTTCCCGCAATGCTCATCATCTGTTCCAAAAGCAGTAATGTTGTGCACAACGAGTATTATGTTTATAACTCACTTTACATGCTGACTGACGCAAGCGTGGGAGGAAAGAAACCTTGAAATGAACAAACCGTGAGACACAATGAAAAGTTTAATATTTTACTAAAAAACTTTCAGACATCTTACAAATGCCCAGGAACTCTTTCACTGGATGTGCCCCGACACTGATACAGAAGTGATTTTAGAACACAGCATCTTTCCGTTCTCCCTTGGACTTGGTCTGCTCGAAGTGTAGACTCCAAGATTCAGTAAAAAAAAATCAAAGCTTGCAATTAACACTAACGTAGACAGAACAGTGAAATTACAAAGCAGCAGACCTTTTATTAAGTTTCTAGGTGTGTAGGTCTTATACTGAGAAATCCACCAATAGACTGGTGGCATGTGCTGAGTGTTGCTTAGAACCACAAAGTGAATACTCATTTTAAAGCTAAGCTGCATTTTCAAAAGATGAGAAGCTCAGAAGAAAATGCAGAAGTATATATTAGAAGTATCTCAATGGAACTTATAAATATACAGTACAGATCCAATTTTCTTATTGTTTGGTTCTACGTGGAAAATTTTTATGTCAATAAATACAGCCTATTTTTCATAAATTTCTCCCCCGCCCCCCACCCATATCTTCAAATTCAACAATTTTAGAAAAATGTTTTACTTTTGTCTGAACACAGACAACCTATTGCCATACACATGGTGCATGTGAACATACCTACTTATACAGATCACATAACTATGAACTGTGTGCTAAGGGGCCGACCTAGTCTTTTTGCATGCATAGCGCTCGGGATCCTATCCTAGTGGGTGAGATAACACAGAGCATATGTTAATGCTTTTTGATCAATGGACTCAAGAGTTGGGAAACCAGGAGTATTTACAATGTAAAAGCTGATTATCAGATTATGTTACAGTGTAAACCTATTCTCACATCAAGAATGCCAATCTATAAGCGCTGGGTGTTGAGCTGGTAACTTTTGTAAGTCAAAGGCTTAAACTGGTGTATATAAAAGTAACCAAAGCCTGAAGAATATGAGGAAAGAATGGGTTTCTATCACTTAGCATTGACATTTCCCACAAACATCATAGAAGCATAGGGAATTAAGTGATTTTCTGAAAAATAATGCTTTAAAAAAGTGAGTGTACATATAGCCTATAAGGCAAAATCTAAGTTACAAGTGTACTCAACACTGGCAACTGTGTTATGAGAGGTAAGACTGAGCCGTACACTGGTCAACTGTCCCTTAACTACAATGACACACTCACCAGAGTGTCCTTTAAGGAACACGGAAGATGCTCCTGTGGCTTGTCACCAAGGCTTAGGGTTTAAAAGAATTTAACATTTTTCCTTGTCTCAAAGTCTAGTGAAAATTCTGTAATCTAAATCGGAAACTGTATTTTTTTTAAGGAAATAAAAAATGAATTTCCAATTATTGTTCTGGTGTGGCCGCTGCAGTGACGGCCTCTACAAGCAGTTTCCATCAGGCCTGCAAACCTCCCTTGGTGCCAGGGAGCCTTCTGGGTAGGTGTCTCCACGCGGAGTGAAACACACAAGGGGAACTAAGTGCCTCCTCCAAAGTCTCGGCTGGCCATTTCTGACACATTTTCACATCAGGATGACACAGCCACAGACGTGTGCTTTCCTGTATGTCTCCAGGAACCTGTGCTGAACTGGAAACCATCGGGTTTACCAGAAAGCCAAATTTAAAAAACAAGATCAGCAATAGCCAAGTTCTTAGATTACAACAAAAAGACACTGCTAGGCCCAGGCCCTAAACATGCACCGAGGTCAGTGTGAAAACACTCTACATCTGGCAGGCAGGAATGTCACAAGTTCAACCTCTCGGGGCTCTTGCTTGCAGAATGCTTGCCCACCGGGGGGTCTCACAGTGCTTTCTGATGCCCATTTGCAGATGGCTTGGTTGCTTCTGCATCCCTTGAAGTATTGGATAAGTGGAGTTTATGAAGCCCTGCAGGAAAATTAAGGAAATGGTAAGAAGTAAGGTGCTGCTGAGTGGCTGGGGAGGAGGCTGGGTGCTGAAGAGAAGAGACTGGCAAGTAGAATGTGCAATTTCATTGTGGAAGTTGTGATCTTGCCAAATGCAATCTAGGAACCAAAGATTTCTTTTCCCCACCAGTGGCTCCTCTGCAGATGGCCTGAGTGGAAAGGGGCATCTGGGCAGGAAGTCACTGTGGTCCTCCAAGGACAGCCTGTCTCCACGGCCCAGCAGACATGTTTGCGTGGGGCTCTTCTAGACTCAGCAGATCTCTGAGGGTCACCACCATCACCACCCGTAAGGCCAGCTGAGGCTGCAAACAACAAGCCCTCTTCCTGCTTTCTCTCCCTCCCCTCTGACAAAGCTACTCCCATCAAACACATTCCTATCCCAGAGAGCATATCCCAGGGACCCAAACCTGAGGCAGATATGGTCTCATTTTTGCTCAAAAGACATTTACACATATGCACATGGAGTCAAATGTTAGCAAGGATACCAAAATATTGAGCATGTAATTTTTAAAAAATGGGAAATATTACCAGAAAAAGAAAGAAATGGCAAAGGAACAAACTGAATATAAAAATACTTCTCAACTCAAAGTCAGAGAATAAAAAAATCATCACTACCTTTTTCTATGACATGAACTCCTATCATATTATAGTACCTCTGCCATACTATGTGTGTGTATGGAATAGCACTGCGCCCTCACAGGAAGGGAAGGCAGAACACCGAAGAGTTCAGGTGCCACCAAAGCTTCAAGCACTTTAACAACAAAAAAAATTTTTTACTATGACAAACAAATACATAAGCAGCACATTAGCAGAAAGATTTTGAGGAAGTAATTCCCATGAGGCTCAGACCTTGTTGAAGCCTCAAAACCTAAGTTGAAAAAGCCTGTTTCCCTCCAAGTGGTAATCTTCCTGACTGCCAGACAGCTTCCTATCACTCTTAAACCAACACAGCACTCCAAACCTTAAACGTTCTGTCACCTGCATATCTTAAGGACAGAAAAGGTAAAATTCAGTCTTTCTATGGCATTTGGGAAGGGTAAAAAAATCCAGAAACAACAAAAACAGTTCTGGTCCCAGGAACAGCCAAACCACTAACTGACCAGAGGAGTGGCCAGCTGTCAGAAGGTGGGAAACAGCATTAATACATTCCCACTGGCTTGTCTCACCGCTGGCACATGCATGACTGTCCCATCAGGCAGCTTATACAACTGGTGGTACAACTGATACGATCACGCATGGGACAGTCATGAATGTACCACAAGTGGCTCAAGCTGGCCAGCAGCGAAACATGAATTACAGCCCCATCATGAACAGTTAAAGCCAGGCTTGCCAGGGAGGTAGCAGGTGGCTGCACTGAAGTGGAATTATGTTTATAAAACAGAAGATGGACTGGGTTCACTTGTAAAACTTGGGTGCAGTCTAAATATCCACTCTTAGAAAGTGCAATGTCCCTCTTCTGCAGAGAGCTCCAGAGACAACTCTCCATCACCACCATCCTGGCAGTTATATCCCAGGGTCTCTGTGCCCTGGACATTGTTACAATCATCGGACACAGCGGCAGTGGGTGGGGTGAGGGAGACTACAGGAAGGAAGGAAGGGGGAGAGAAGAAGGAAGACACAAGACAAGATAAAACAGGGAGGGGAGGGGAGGGGAGGGGAAAAAAGGCAAAAAAGAATATAATAAAAGAAAAAAGCAGAGAAAAAGAAAGAATATAAGCATATGCTTGTAATCCCAACACTTGGGAGGCTGAGACAGGAGGATCACCATGAGTTCAGGGCTAGCCTGGGCTACCAAGTGAGTTCAAGGTCAGCCTGAACTACAGATTGAGACCCTGTCTCAAAAGAAAAAGAATACGTAAATTTCAGAATCAAACTCTGACTCTCAGTGAAGTCATGCTTAAGATCTCTAACCAAACACTGCATATACTTAAAAAGGAAATTTTTCAATGCATAAATTGCCCCCAGAAGAGCATCCCAGAGGACAGTGGAAAATATTCGAAAGGAAAGTAACTATCAGATAGTTCCACATACTCTCGGACCTCGCACTGCTTCTGTGGTCTAAGAGCTGACCCAGCACAGGGAGCTCTGCCTGCCCAGGGCTCCGCTTACTCCTTTAACAGCGCTTCCCAGCAGCAGGATCCAGGCCGGCTGCCGACTTCACAGCAGCCGCTGCAGGGAATGGAGTGGAGTCCATCTGATACGATGGATGCTGAATCTTGCCAATATTACAACAGCCTTGAAAATTAAGGCTTCATTCTAGATACCCGACAAGAGAACTGCTTGAGTCCCACTTCATCCTGCAGCTTTTGACACGGCCAGCATTATAAAACCTAGGCATTAAAATTTATGAAATTTATCTGGGGCTCTGGCTGAAAGAAAATGTAGCTTTTTCTTTTCAGGACAATACTCCAATCAGCCATCCCTCTCACAGGGCACAGTCAAAGTAAAATTCATACGGCCTGAGCTGACAATCTGAAATCTTTTTTTCTTCCCAATTATCACACTTTCAACCACCACGGCTGGGAAGGGTTAGCAGCGTGAGAAGCTTGATTACTGCTTGTATGGTTTAAGTCATCTGAATACTGAACCTTAATGAACCAATTAATAAGTTGTCTTTTGAAACAGCTAAAACCACAAGGAATATATAGGCGTTTAAAGTGCCACTCAGGTAAATGAGTCAGTGTCAAGATTTTCTATAATAAATCACTGACTGCCCTTCTTTTATGATAAATTATAAACCCAACCCCAAGACAGTTTGTATTGTCCTGGTAGCCCCAAGGTATGAAACTTGAAATGTGTAGCATTAATGTGGAAGTAAGCATGAACAATGTATTCGCAGCCTACAACAGTTTTAATACAATCACTGACATGATTCTGCATGAGTGATGGTCAAGAATTTGACATCTAAGGTTGTACACATTTAGAAACTGAATGAAGACTTACTGCTAACTGAAAATGTAATGCATGGTCATTAATTAGCAGAAAGAGAAATACCCATAACCCTCAGGATTACCTAGGGCCTTGAAAAGTTCTTCTCGTACAGCAGAGGTGAATTTTCTGACCAGACACAATGTTGTCACAATGGCAAAGAGTAAATTGTAGGACAGGACAATATAGAAATTGCCCAGCCAATTAAACCTTCCAAAGTCTCCAAGTAGGTCAAACCTAGTGATTCCTGTTAAAGAAAAATAACAGAGCCCTTAGTAAAACCAGTTTGTTACACAGTGAAGTACTCCTCAGATCAAATCCTGCAGGCTTCCTCAGTTCTGCTCCTGGGATGCTCTAAAGAACGGTCCCAGTTTACCAGGCGTCACTGTTACAGACTGGCCGGCCCTGACCTAGTTCATGTAGGAGGCAAGTAACCGGAAGCACCCCTGGCCATGGCTTGGAATTCACGCTCCCTGCTGCTCACCCCAGGAGGACGGGTGACTGTGCCTACCAGAGCAAGGTGGCTGCACCTGGTCACAGGAAACCAGAGTCCTGCCAAGGGGCCGCCTGAGCCCACACTCCTGCAGCCCCGCTGCTGCCTGCCAGTCCCCTGGCGAGGAGAGCTGAGCCCCATTCCGCAGACAGCTGTTCCCGGCAGGGCCTTGGCTCCCAGCTAGGTTTCTGCAGAGCACATTTTCCTGATTCCTTTGGACCTGCTTATTGCCTGCTCCCCCTATAAACTCTGTGAGAACAGTGACTATTCCACTCATACTCCCAATGCTCCACAGCAATACCTTACATATTCTCCACGTTCACTACATCAATGAGCAAATAAATATAATAATCTCTCCCCATGCAAAGCACTGCTAACTTGAATTCAATGCTAAGTTTGTAAAGTAAAAGGGCGAGTGGGAAATGCAGTGGGGTTGCACCACACGTGCGCTGCAGTCACTTAAACCCCCCACGCACATTCTTAAATCTTTTTTATTTAGAAACAGTTTAAACACTTACTCCATTTACTGAGCATATGCCCAGGTCCAATACTCACTGGAAAGAATATGGAAGAGAGATCTTCCTAATCACTGACAGGGAAATAAATCCCAACAATCGGGAGGTCAGGTGAGTGAGGAACAAGACAGTCCTGAGTGTTCAAGGGAGAGACTGCGAAGCTACACCGGGCCTTACAAAATGCAACTCCAGAATGCTGGGAGGAACTGCCAGTAGGACGTTAAACACCTCTGCCGACCTCAGCTGATGTCCCCAGCACCTCTGACGCAATCTCACAGCTTCAGCTGGCTTGACCTTGATGCTCACCTCCACCCCAAGCCCCCAGGACTGACACAGGCAGTGGGAGCCTCCCTGTGCAGACTGTAAGGAGAATGTGCTGCTGTCCCTCCAGCCGCAGACTTATGCAGGTGAACCTGAAGATGGTCCCCAAATATTTTTAACAATAAAAGACTGGTGAAAACGTAGAATAAAATGCCTTTTAAGAAAGGTTAAAACCCAGACACAGGAGAGTATACAGCACTTGCCACATCATTTTAAGATGATGGCAACAATCCTGGCTGCAGTTTCTCAGCTGTAAGCCTCACACACCTTCTTTGCTAAAAGTAACAGATATCTACTTGTAAATTTCATTTTTCAAATAAAGCTGCATTTAATTGAACCTAGCAAGTTATCTTATTTACTTACCTGTAAATAAGTTACAACCCTACTGAAACAAGCATGGGAGCCCAGACACCCCAGACAGTTTACTGACCTTCAGAGCCGAGGACCCTCGCACACTCTGGTGAGAGCCTGGGTTGTCTGCTAAAGCACAGGTATGCACGTGCGCAGACTTCTACGTCCCCCAGGCTCATCTGTGGAGGGACCGAAGGGGCCACAACAGAAACCCCTGCAGCTCCCCTGGAGCCCTACCTGCTCTCAAAGCCTTCCATACAGCACCCACTGTATTTAATACTCACAAACTACCAGTACGTATGTACCATTCACTGACGTATATACAGACAGAGCACTTTAGAAGTTGTAACAGTAAAGTGCCTATAAGGTCTAATATTTTCTCCGCACAGTTCAATGACCAGCTTGAGGGACCCACCCAGTGTACAAATTCCACACCAGAAGCCATGGGTATGTGCTGTGGTCACTCAAGCATCCTGGCCACGGCCTGTGCCTCTACTGTGAGAAAGGGGCAGGCACCAAGTAAGCACAGGCGTGGGTGGAACAGCAGGGAAGGGTAGCTTGGATGGGGCCTGCGCAGGTGGCAACCAAGTCAGCGTCCAACCCCAACAAGGACATTCTGCCAGTCTCCCATTAGATCCCTGGGCTCTAGGAAGGTCTCGGGCAGACACCCATGGCCTCCCAGCAGTGCACAGAGGAACTAAACAAACACCAGCTCAAAGGGACTGGTGCTGAGGACACTGCTATTTCAATGTTATTTTTTTAAAAAAATCTACTGATATTGACTAACAAATTATTCTAGAAAAGTCACATAGCTCTTTAATTCTGAAAATCTACAAAGACTAGACAATAACAAAATCATTTCTCTAAAATCATGGTCAAGGTTTTTGTCACAGTGATAAATTGTAAAACACACTTTTCAGAGCTAGGGATGTGGCTCAGTGGTAGAGTTCTTGCGCTGCATGCACAAGGACCTGGGTTTGATCCCCAGCACCACAAAATAAATAAAATTGTATTAAAAAAATAAATCTCAAAATCAAGAGTAGCTATCATCTTAAAAAAACACACTTTTCAAATTGAAAGTACTAAAACTTAACAAAAAGTAACAATACTCAGACAAAGCCTTAATTTAATAGCACTTATTATACAGGAGTCATACTTCAAACCTGTATTTCTGAAGAAGGTAAAAGAGCCTTAAGACAGTAAATTTTAAAATGCTAGTATGAAGGATTCCATTATCAGATATCTAAATGTTTAATGTATATCCAGTCAGAAATTAGCTTTGTGAAAAGTTAAGTGTGCTATACGTCAGGTAAGGCTTTACCAGCAAGGCATCAGCAAGGCCGAGGTCATCTATGGGGGTAAGGCATCCTTCATGACAAGCTGCACCAGCTCCAGGGCTCAACAGAAAATGTTTCCTGTGTAATTCTTTGCATAACAATCTCCTATTCATACCTTTGAAACAATGAGTGGGCAGAACAAAAGCTCACATTAAGAAAGACCTGGTTACTCCACTCCAGCATGAGTCAACAGATTCATAGGCTCGGCCCACCTAAGTCAGCCCCTACGTTCAGTTAGCACATTCGTGTCCCCACCACTCCAGCAGTCGTAGGAGAGCACTCAAGAGGGCTGGGCATGGGGATCACTGCCACAGCTTCACAGGAAGCTCCATGTGCTGCCCTGTGACACACGGCTGATACAGTACTCATGAGTTTAATGGGAGGCTGCTAAAAAGACACAGATATTTAGTTATAAAAACAAAGAAATTACACTTTTTTTTTTTTTTTTGGTGGTACCGGGGATCGAACTCACAATCTTGTGCTTGCCACGCAGGCGCTTATCCCACTGAGATATATCCCCAGCCCTACACTGTCTTTATTAAAACAGTAGGATTTTTTTTGTCTCTGGACTCAAAGGTTAGTATAAATTTTTTTTTTAGTATAAATTATTAAATTATTAATGTAACTAGGTATTTAAACTCCCTTCTCTAAATCAGACTTTTGAATCAGTTTCCCAAAGACAGTGTCAAAAAATAAAAGCAATCATTTTAAACATCATTACTTTTAGGATTAATGTAAATAGGCTTACTGTTGATTGTTTTATTTTCTTTTTTCTTTCTTCTAGTACCAGAAATCGAACTCACGACCTTGCGCTTGCCAGGCAGGCACTTTGCCACTGAGCTAAATCCCCAGCCCTAATTGTTTTATTTTCAAAGACAAAGTCGTTCTAAAACTGTAAGATAGGTCTCACTCTGGGAATGGAAAAGAAGATGATACTATTAAACCAAAGACTTCAACTTCTGGTTCAGTCTTACTGTGCAAGTATATTTCTGTTAAATTATATTTCAATTAGAAATATATTTCAATTAGAAAGTATATTCCATTGGAAGTATATTTCAATTAGAAATACGATATTGGCCTCTAGTGTCAGCCAATGAACTTACTAAGAGGAGCCATGGAAGATACAAAATCATTTGAAATTGATTTCTACAAAGGAAAATCACCATGTCTAGTAGTGGATAAGATTAACAGTAGACAGAAGAGGTCAGCAAACTCTGAGACACAGCTACAGAAACAAAAGAGAAAGCACAGAGAGCAGAACAACTCAAAAGCAGCATGAGTGACCTGCGAGCTGCTTGCCGTCAGAGTCCCCAAAGGAGAGAGAGGATAAACGATTGGAAGAAGCAATGCTGAACATCGTCCAGATCAGATGAACACTACACACCTGCAGGGCAAAGAAGCACAAGGAACTCACAAAGAATTAGGAATGGGAGGAAAACTATGCCAAAGCACACAGTAAGCTACTTTTTAAAAGAAAAAATGTAAAGCTGCCAAAAGGAAAAAAAATCACATAGGACATAGAAAAGAACAAAAATGATGGTCACAGAAGATTTCTTGTCAAAAATGATACAAAGGACAAAACAACTGAGCAACAGTTTTAAAGTACCAAAAGATAGAAAGTAATAAAAAATTTCATATCCAGCAAAAACATCTTTCAAAAGTAATGCAATCTAAACACATCTCATAGACGCAAACAGCAGAAATTCATTATCAGCAGATCTGCATGCAAAGAGTGTTAAAGACAGTCCTTGAGGCAGAGGGAAAATGATGTCAGAAGGAACCTGGATGGACATACAGGAATGAGGAGTAGTAGAAATAATAAGTGCATGGCAAATATGAAAGACTTCTTACATTTTTAAACTTCTTAAAAAGACCACTGTTCAGTACTGGGGATGTAGTTCAGTGGTAAAATGCCTGCCTAGCATAACCAGGGCCTGGGTTTAATCTCCAGAACTACCAAAGAAACAAAAGGAAACCATCATAATAAAACCAGAAAAAAGTCAACACTCTGTGAGGTTAAAACCTCACAGGGCAGAGCCTGCTCCCAAGAGGACCCCAGAACTGCCACTAGGGAAAACAAAAGCCTTCACGGCTATTGCAGATCTCCTGATGCCCTGCTACTCCGAGACCCACAACTTCTGTGTATGTGGACACAGCTGCCTATGCCTCTACCATCCCAGTGTCTAGACCTGCTGTAGCCATGGCTGCTGTTAGGGCTCCAATCCTAAGA